TTGTTATAAACTTGGGAATGACTAACTGCATCAACTTCGATTTAAGATACTAAACAAATTAAGTCTCTCTGGCTCTTGAATATTCTTCTTAGTCTATAATCCCCACCACAAAAAACCTTAGACAGTCTGATTAAATTGCCTCTTATTGAAGTCTCCTTCCAAATGCATTGAAAATAAATAACAGATGCAGCATGCACTCTGAGTCAAATGACCAGAAAGGCACATTTTCTCACTCATAGTTCTATGATGTTTTGAAATGAAAATTAGTCTGATTCCAGGAGCATCTCAAGTGTATAAGGTTCTTTTCTATACTGCCATTTTTTGAGCCTCTGATATTGATAAGTAGAAGTCCCTTTAATGCTTGTATTCTGTTCACAAGAAGGAAAGCTTTAAATAATGTTAATCTGAAATAATCTGATATTTCTTGTAGCTTTCTAATAGAGACCTGCAGAACAACAGCAATAAGAGCTTTGTTCTCGTGTAGACCCTGGCTAAGTTAAGATCACAATCGTTGTGATATGCTGGAGGGCTAAAATATTTGCTGCTAAGGTCTGGTCATGCCAAACTGTCATAGAATCATAGAATAGTTTGGTTTGGAAGGGACTTTAAAGATCATCTGGTTCCAAACCCCCTGACATGGGCAGGAACACCTTTCACTAGACCAGGTTGCTCCAAGCCCCGTCCAACCTGGCCTTAAACGCTTTCAGGGATGTGGCAGCCACAGCTGATCTGGGTAACCTGTTCCAGTGTCTCACCACACTCATAGTGAAGAATTTCTCCCTAATATCTTACCTAAATCTATCTTCTTTTAGCTTAAAGCCATTATTCCTTGCCCTGTCATTACAGGCCCTTGTAAAAAGTCCCTCTACACCTCTCTTACAAACCCCTTCAATATTAAAAGGCCCCAGTAAGTGTCCCAGGAGACTTCTCTCCTCCAGGCCTGACAACCCCAACTTTCTCAGCCTGTCTTCTTAGGGAAGTGCTCCAGCAACAAAAAATCAAACAGGACCAGAGCGTGTCTAACCTACTGCTGGTCTTGGTTTTAAAATGTTGTGTTGACTGGGAAATGACTCCTTTTTTTTTCATATTTGATTTCTCCCAAATAGTTAGTCATGAAAGAGGGAGTTCTCAGGGTAAATATTGGCTATTTTATATACAGATATGCCTTTGGTAGAATTATTACATCCTGTTTCAGGAAGAAGGATGGAAATTTCCCCTGTGTTTGCATTGGTTGAAGAGCTCTGGAATTTATACTTTACTGACAAGAAAGAATGACAAAGAAGTCTTGTAATGCTTGTACGCTCATGAGTAGGGAACTTTGCAAACTCGAGCGAGCATCCAAAGTTTGTGCTTAGCAGTATTTGAAAGAATACATAGCAAAATGATAAACAAGAACACTAATTTTTTAAAAAGGGGAACTTTGAAAAGGTCAGCATATATGCTTAACAAATGCTGCTGCCAAGGACGTTTATCAGAATTCTGGCCTAAGAAAGTAGAATTTCCATAGAGAATGAAAAATCTGATCATTTTTGGTTTATGAGGGGCAAATGGTTGATAGTCTGACATTTAAAATGTAGCTGGAATTACATCCTGAAAAAAATCATATTTCTCTGAGATGACATCCCTTTGAACCTGCTGTGGCAGGGATTTTGGGTCTGAATATGTGTTGTGTGAGAACACTAATGGTATTTCTTCACTCATTATTTCTGACTAGGTGATCTCACTTTTAGGCTATACTGTTAAACAATTTTAAATTGACATTTCCCCCCCACAATTTTATTTGAGTTTCCCTAAGGTGGTACCAAAGTCTGTCTGGTTTTTATTCACGGAACAAGATAATTCAAGAAATACTCTTGTGGGCCAGACTAATGGTCCATCTACCTTGATGCTTATTTTGTGACAGTGCTAACAGGGCGTTCAATTGGGGGATAGCACATGTGCCTCTCTGCTTTCAGGGATCCTTTTCCCTTGTACTCTCTTGACATCCATCTTTTTTGGATTTGTGGTATTGGATGGGACATCCCTGCCTTACCCTTCAGTATCTGTTCATGGACCTCCTGTCCACGAATTTTTCCTTTAGCCTGAACTATCTGGAAGTTAATCCTTTTGGTATTTTGGTCTGAGGAATGAAGTTGTTAGATGTTCACCTTTCTGAGATTTATTCTGAGTTTTGGTTTCTGAGCACCAAGTAGGATTACAAGTACTCATAGTTAGTTCTGCTATGGTAAATAACTCAGTTTTGAATTGTTCATGCTCGTGTTCAGCAATCTTCCAGATATTCTGTAATTTGTATTTAGTTTGGGTTTGGATGAAAACTTTCGCCAGTTATCCCCTCTCATAAGGAATTTTGTCTAAACACTTGTGTCACATGAAGAATTGTTCAAATGCTTGTATGTAAACAGGATTGGTGAGACGTGAAGAAAACCTTCATGACTGTGTACTGGCCAAATCAAAACTCTCAAAATATCCAAGTAGCAGCCTGCTACTTGCTGCAAAACCTGGGATAAACTTATTTATCTCTACTAGCACTTCCCTCTCAAAGCAAAGAAACAGCGGTAGAGTGGTTACACTTTTCCCATTTTATAGCTCGTATTTGGAGGATTTAAGGTAAATTCTTAAGATTCAAAAGCAGTAAATTTTTAAACATAAATCCACTGTGAAACTATATAGTACAGTAACTACATTGATTTGTCTATGGAGGTGAGGGAGAGTAGCAAATTCCTTCTGATTTTAATTTGTTCTTTGTGAAGCAAAATTCTGTAATTATTCCATTGCAGAATATGATAGAAATACATATTTGCACCTGTTTGTTTGATTTTAATGTTTAACTTTTACTGTTCAGATTTTTCAAGCATCTTGCTTAGAAGATGTAGTTTAGGAGCTTTGATAGAGATGGATTGACAAAAAGCATCCACCTACTTCCCCAAGTCTACATCCTTTTATTTTATCAAAATTCAGCATTTTGTTTTTGCTGCTGAATGTTACTACAATCTGATTTCCTAAAATAGCTGTTGCTCATATGCCAGACTAGAATAACAATTGTCAAATGATAATTCTGTCAAATCATTACACAAGCACTTGATTTTTGAGAGGAAATTGTGCCACCTTTAGTTACTGTGGGTTTTAAAGGCCTACTAGAAGAGCCATTTTCAATATGCTGTTCAAAAGTGCCATCAATGAATAATCCAGAGAAAACTTCACAACTGGGAGAGTGCAAGGAATATAAATAGGATGGAAGTCTGAAAACTTAGTTATATATGTGGTTAGGATTGCTTCTGCTATTATCTGATATCTCAAGATTTTTAAAAAGGAAATGGAGGATTATATTAATAAACAACAAAATAAGCTGTTCAGTGAGTTCAGTATAGATCTCTCCAACTGAGGTATTTGTTTAGACATGGTCAGTGAAGAGTATTTCTAGGACACAACAGATTTCACCCAGTCAGAATCTCTGAAAGCAGGTCAGATGAATCATGCTGTGAAATGTCTCTCTAATTCTGAGATGGCCTGCAGTGACTAGCTCAGAGATGCTGCTTAAAACTAGACAAGATGAATTTAATCCAAAATGACTGTGGTCCCAATGATCTGATATGTCCATAGATGAGTTTATGCCAGTTAAAAATGTACCAAGTTAGACCTTTCAGGTAATGAAATAAAATTATTAATGCCTCCATGAGAGGCACCACAACAGCCTCCCCAGGAATACTGCCAAGCATTCAGGGTGCCCAGGTATAGGAAGCATGAACTTAGGTGTAACAAACAGAGAAATGAGAGTAAAATGAATAGGGGGAAGGGAAAGGTGGTTATTCTGAGGCTACTAAAACCTTTATTTCTCTTTAGTAAAATAAAGGCCAAGAGAAAAGGTACGCTGTGAGTTAAGGAGAACAATTATTTAATCTGAAGAACAGAGCTGGGGCAGAAATAACCGGCAGAAAATCAGACTGGAAGTTAGAAGATTTCCAGCCATCAAAGCAGTTCTGAAGGAGTCTCCCAAGAAGGTGGTCAGGTTTTGGTTTTCCACACACGTCTAACTGTTTGCAAGGTGGAAAATGATACATTTATGAAAGGAATATGAAACACGGTTGCCTCTGATAGCAGGAGCCTGGACTTGAAATGCCACCACTTTGATCCTAGAAGGGGATGAACATGCATGACTGCACTTATTGAAGTGACAGTAATTATGCTGTAGATATGCCTGTACTATCAATGTGAATATGTTGTGGTGCTTCTTTAAACTTGTAATTAATACTAATTGAGCTCTGAGAAACTGAAGGGTTCCTCATTTAAAAATCTTGTGCTTTTGCTGAGTGTAACAAGTTTGCTAACTTATTCCTCTTCTTGAAAAACTCCATGTTAATGAAAGGAAAGCACTGTATGTGATATGTTGATAACAAACAGCTCAAAGCATTTCTTACTGTGTAAGCTAAACACATTTTCCCAGCATAGTGCTTCTGCTACACGTGTTTTCCCTTGGTATTGTATTTACTGTGCTAGACATGTGATTGTAGATTAATACTTTCCCTAAATATTCTGCTAAACACAACTTTGTGTCTGCTGTGAAGAAGTTAGCACAAATGAGAAAAATTATAAGTTTTGTGCATAAATTCAAGCTGGTTGGCATGAAATAAAAGTCATAAAATCATGACTTTAATTAGCTTGCATGGGTCAGTACGCAACCGAGTGTCCAGCCAGCAAGAGTGCCCCCAGTTTGTGATGTGCTGAAAGGCTGTGGGCTCTGCAAGACAGATGTCATGGTACCACCTTATTTTGTCGTTTCAGCTGCTGATATATGACAATTCCCGTAAATTTTTTAACATGTTGAAGTTCATCAAGCCTTGAAAAAAAAAGTTTCCTCTTTTTTGTCTTTATATTTTGTAATTCTGGGAGATAACATTATGTCTTTCTTTGAAACGGGGTTAATTTTAAAATAGCGGGTGAAACTCAACTAGTTTATTGCGTGAGTCCTGTATCCTTGTTCTGATGCCCTGCATCTTTTCTAGGTGTGCAGCTGCCATTCTGTCTCAGCAGGACTGTGTTTGCCACTTCATGAGCTGCAGGTAAGCCCCGAGGCCATTACCCAAAGTTTCGGAATCCCAGTCACCCAGTGCACATGGGGCCATGGGCAGTGCTGAGGTTCTCCATCCCATGGTGGCTTTCCCAGGATGGGGAGGAGACACTCCCTCTGTGTTTGAAATGGCTCCCAAGGAGCTCAGTCATGGTCCTCCTCACAGCACAGGGCTGTGTTTCAAATCAGCCATAGACGGTATTTTTTTCCTGTAATCACTGCTACATATTTGTTCAAGTCAACTAAAATAGATCTGATATCTCTTTAAAATTTCGCCATAACACATTGCCCAGTATCCAGTAGTTGTGGCTCTTCCTTTACCTGTATTTTTTCCCCATATCCTTTTCAAAATATATAGAATTTTCCTAAACGTGACTGTAGGATTACTACTGATACTGCAGTTGGAGGAAAAAGCAGTTGCCTGTCACTCCTACTTCACCAGCGCTTTGAACATCACGGGGTTGTGCTAAACTTTTTATGCTGGGCCCTTGTGTTGAACGGTAGACCCCTGTGCTTTACTCTGTTCCCTTCAACAATGACTCACTTGGTTTCTCTTTCTGATCTAAGGATGGATTTTGAGTGCATGGTTGTTCAAACAGGTTTGCATTTTCCAGTTCAAACCATTTTGGACAGGCTCATACTCAAAATTCTTTGATACCTTTACTTTTCCTCTCCCTTCAGATGTTAGGAATGAGTTTTATGGTGGGTTCTGCTCATACTCCCAGCCGATGTGAATGTGCGATCTCAGAAGAATATCAAGCCATAATGAAAAGTTTATGAAAAAGTCTTTTGAATTATACTATATCTAGAGATTATCATCAGTTAAAATGACGCTAATTTGGGCTGCTGGTGGTCTAGTACACATCCATGTGAATGGGTTTTACATTTTTGTTTTATTTAGAGGAACTGGCTATTAAAAGTGAAATATTTACGAATATTAGCCGTAAGTGTGAAAAACAAGTCTGCCTGACTGCTTAATGTTTAATCAGTAGAAAGTAGGCATATCGCTGTGTTCTTGAAAAACAGTATTTCACCAGCCTATTTCAGCTGGAGCAGGTGGCAGAGACCTAGCTTTTTGCATACAGTGGCATTCCTAAAGCCAGGCCTGATAGCCACACTTAGGCTTTCCTTCTCTCTCTTCCCAAAGGCTTCACAATCGTATTTTCTTACCCTCCTGCTTATGTTTCCTCCTTTTATTGCAAATCTTTTGTTAAGGTCTTGGTTTCTTTTTTTAATTTTTTTTTGTGTGTGTGTCTGAGACCGGTTTCTTTTTTTGCCACCGTTGTTTTCTCTGAATCTTCTGCTTATCCATAAAGCCTGGATAATTTTTTTGCTTTATTTTCTTGGTCTTTTTTTAACATTACCATACTTATCTGTTTTGTATATCTGGAGAAAATTTTGCTCTACTTTGTCTTTCTGCTGAAAAAGAGATCATGAAACTAAGAAAGGATCTTGAATCCCTGCCTGTAGGATGGTGGAAGCCAGCTGTCCAAACAGACTGTGTATTTTGTCATAAATTTATTGGAAGATGAGTGTGTTTTATTAATAAGAATGTGCACTTTTGATATTATCTTTGCAGTCAGAATAGAGATGCATAAAAACCCAGTTAATAATTCTGAATACTAATGTTAATAGTATAGGAGTGAAGTCCTCTTTTTATAATATAGGACATTTTGTTCTGGAAAATTTCTTTTAAAAAATGGGAGAAGTTAAAGAAATAAAAAAAGGAACAATAATCTTTTGGCTAGAATCAATGATTAGTTGCTTCTATAGCTGGATATCCTACAGAGCAGTCCCCATCCACTAGACTACATTATTTTATGATGCCTGGACTATGTTGAGAAAACTTTCTTGCTTTTACCAGTAGGAGCAATTGTCAGCTCCCACATTAAAGGCGATTTAGCCTGTATGTAATATAGTATGTACTGCCTGCAATATTTTTGCAGTAGGTGTTACCTTAAGAAATCTGCACACTGCATATTTTTGTCAAACAATTATGCACAAGGTTTTTTCCATTTCCCCCCCTTTTTGGAGTCCTTTAGTCTTTTTAACTGTTAGCATGTACTGTAAAAGTCTGTTTATTATGCAATTGAAAGTTACTCATTTATTTCTGTTTGGAAATTATTCTTGGAAAAAGACAATGACTGGGAATAACACCTGCACTTCTCAAATTTGAGAAAATTACAGTATACTGAAAAAAAACCCCTATGAAATTATATCTGTTTTAAAAAAAAAATCGAAACAACTTTATAGGATACACTGATCAGTGTTGAACTTAGCTGGTAGTACAACACTTCATCCTACAGCTTGTCATTAAACAGAAGGAAACTGGAATAGCTCCACTCTACATGTTCAAAAACCCAGCATTCCGTCTTAAGGAAAATCCCAAATATAAGGAATGCCATTGTTTGCTGTGCGTGTGGTGACTGGTTATATTAAGTTGAAGTTACTGCCATCTGGTGGGCAAAGTAGTGTTATATCCCAATAGTTGGAAGCAATTCTGTTAGGGTTATGTTCTCTCTGTGTGTGTGAATACCGTGTGTGCCTCTGTGTGTGTATATATACACACACCTATACAGACATCCATATAGATGTATTTAATATGAGCATTTGGTTGCTGATTTTAAAAGAATTTTCAAATATTCAGTCATACAGAATGGCCTGCTGAATTGGAGATTAATTAAGGGTAGAGAAATGTAGGAAAGAAAATAAGGAAAACATAAGAGGCAGAGCAGAGAGAGATGTGAAATATGTGCTGTGGTACTGGCAGTGAACCCACACTTCTGGTCTGGATTAACATAGAGAATCATGTATAGAACTGTTCTCAGAATATTTCTTTGTACTTTGTACAGCTGGAGATCTTGCAGTTTGTGCAGTGTTTCATGTAGCACTTCCTATCATCATACAATAGAATCATAGAATGGCCTGAATTGGAAGGAACTTAGTTCCAATCCCTGTGCCATGGACAGGGACACCTTCCACTAGACCAGGTTGCTCTAAGTGTCATCTAACCTGCCCTTGAACACTTCCAGGGATGTGGCATCCTCAGCTTCTCTGGGCAACCTGTGACAGTGCTTTACCCCACCCTCAAAGTAAAGAACTTCCTGCTAATATCTGATCTAATCCTAATCTCTTTCGGATTGAAGCCATTCCCCCTTGTCCTGTCACCTCAGGCCCTTGTAAATAGTCCCTCTCCATCTTTTCTGTAGGCTCCCTTCAGGTACTGCACACCAAAATTAGATCACCTCAAAGCCTTTTCTTTTCCAGGCTGAACAATCCCAATTCTCTCAGCCTTTCCTCAAAGGAGAGGTGTTCCATCCCTCTAATCAACTTAGTGGCCTCCTCTGGACACTGTGTTAGAGATGACCACTAATTATTGCTGCAAAAACATCCGTGCAGTTTCTGCCTTGTGCCTCCTTCCTTACATTTTCTCTTTGGTGCAGCAAGTTTGCTCCTCCTTGAGTCTTGTCATGTACTTGTGTTACCTATTGTCTGATTCCTGAAGGATCAGCCCAACAGGAATGGATTTGCATGAGTGGTGCATCAGGGGAGTCTGTGGGGCATTTTACACACATTAAATTATTCATGTTTTCTCAAGGAGCTAACACTCTTATGTTAGATGTACCCGTGCAGTGAATGATAGGCAAAGTGGTAAGTGAAGCAAGATTCAGTTGTGGGAGACAGTGTCAGGTGTCTGTCTTTAGTAAGAAGTTGCTCAGTAACCATATGAGGATAATAGTAGTGTCCAGAATTTGTTCTTATTTCATTGGTGTGGTGTCTGAAGACTCCAAATAAGATTAGGTCTGCTTTGTGTACAAATATTAAATTGCTTTTGTGCTTGTTGTATGCTGTGCTTTCTTTTGGTGGAGAGCGGTAGAAGTGATCCTTTACTTTTGATATGCAGAATAAATTGCCGTTTTCTCTACTATTAGGTTTGTATCAAAAGTGTATCTTTAGCTGGCATCTTCTCATGCTCAGAGTCAAGGAAAAGTTAGGGAGATCCAAGAGTGCCTTGGGGTTTGTAGTGGTGTGATCGGATCCCCAATTTGGATTGGTCAAATCCAAAGCCCTCCAGCTGCATGATTAGTCTCCGATGGCATCCCAGCTGCCACTGTGCCAGAGCTGAGGCTGGCCAAGGTAAGGCTACAGGAGGCATACATGGCTTCAGTGTTGTTCCTCGACAGTCTCTGGGCCCTCAGTGGCACGTGATTAGTGATGAACACGAGACACAAGATCTGAGTGGAGCTGAGATCCCTGGATTCTGAGTCCTGCCGATTCCAGGTCACTAAGGAGACTTGCTTCAGGCACTCGTGAACATCGTGCCTTGTGCTGAATTGGAAAAGCAAGAATCAGTGGCAGAGTAGTATTAGATTCCTCTTTAAAGGGATAACTAAGTGCTGCCACCCTATACTTTATTACACCATGTGTATTGTTCTAATGACATCCTCTCTGTTGTCTTCTTTTTTTTGTTGCGGGGAGAGACCCTTGCTTTGGTGGGATTTCTGATGCTGTAGTCTACAGAATATTGTTTCTTTGGCTGCTTACCGGCCTTAACAGTGACATCAGAGTCTTGCTGAGTGCTTATCTGACCGCATGTTACATTCTAGACAACTGACTTGAATTGCAGGAGCTCATCTGTTTGATAAGATTTGGGGTTCTGCTTCATTTATAGGTGGGTTTTTCATTCCTGTCTTATAAAGAGCATCTTATGAGGAGATTCTTGGTTTACACATTTAAAAATTGATGGGTCAAGCCCAGGTTGTAGGCAAGCCACATTCTTCTTGCTCTCATGTCTGAAAGCAAATTCTGGTTACAAATCCACATGTGAAGAGGCCTTATGATTTCATGAATTCTTTCATCCTTGAATCTAATTAAGCAAAAAACCTAATGATATTGACTTTATTTGCATCTCTTGGATGTTACTGAATGAGTTAAGTGTGGTTTCAGAAAAAGATACTTCTCATCTCTCCTAATTCTTGTTTATTTTGTTTA